AAAAGTTAGTAAATAAATGTATATATATATATATATATATATATATATATATATATATATATATATATATATATATATATATATATATATATATATATACAATCAGCATCCTATTTTTATGCAATGCGTGCATTAAATTCAGAATGCTTTGGTTCATACAAGGTGTCAAATTAAGATTATTATTCAAATATTTAGCATATGGAACTGGATATACATAATGAAACCAACATTTACAGCGAATGAGATGAAAAGTCGTTAATAGATCGATGTTTTGTTAAAACATAATACAAAGACAAGAAACTTACGTCGGTAGAGATACTTGATGTATTTTAATGCTTCTGTTGATTGTACATAATATATAAACAAATAAATAATAATGTCGGAATTAAAATATGTAAAACCAATATATAAAACAATATACTTGAAATAAATTAACTAAATTAATTATTTAGAAATACACTCAGTCAGTAGGCATATTGGGTATTAGTAAAGTTCACTTGTTACAATATATATTTGGTTAATTATTGTAATCTCGTTGTACATGTATAGTCTGTACCCTGTCGTGATTCTATTTTCAGATTTGATTCAAGCTAGTTGCTATGGAATAAGTTATATGACCTAATCCGTTGCTAATGATGATAATGTTACAAATGAAAAAAACATAAAAAACAAAAAAAGAGATTCGTGACTACACGTTTATCACCCTATAGGGAAATACGTTACTTGATAGGAAACCATACATTATTTTGTATTATAATGGCAGGTCGTAATTCACACTACCCAGAGGCAGAGAGTTCACTAAACTCAGATGATCAGGGTCATACAGTCAAACAGATACATTCGTGATTGAGGTGAGCAATTTAATTAGTATATACGCGAGTTCGGGATCTGCCATCATTGGCTTTCTAACAAGCAGTTCAACCACGGTATCGTTTTCAGCTCGCAATTGTCACTGAACCTAAATTCTTGTCGATAAAACACTCTTCAAATGGAATTATTATTCAAATAAATACAAGGTAATGTCAAGAAAACAAAAACCGAAAGGCCACGTGGTGAAAGTTTTTAAAAAGGTGTTTCAATATTAGGGAATAGTCTAAAATGCACGATAGCAAAATCAGTCGAAAAATAGTCCCTTTGACAAACATTTGTATGGCATAAGCATCAGCATTTATATCTAAGCTTTTAGATGATGTTTAAGTTGTTACTGTAGCATGCTTAGTAATATTTAAAATCTTCCGAATGACACATACATTTTAACAAATCAGTTTCACCCTGAAGTGTTTATAATGTACATAATTAGGAAAAGTGTTTTTGCATCAACACATTTTGTAAAGTTGTTATGACCAGAACGTTTACTTTAAAAGCACAATTAGCACAACACCTAGCAACATTAAAACATGAGGTACTTAATTCATTTTAAATTCAACTTCATTCTATTTCCTTAAAATTCATCCATTCCGATCAATGCGTTCGTTCCCGCATACATCCTCTCTAAATTTGCCAATAAATTATGCACGTACAATGTGTGATAATATTTATAGTCTGGCGTTTTAAATTAAAATGTATCTTTGCCATCAAATATTTGCTCACTAGAATTTATTACAGTATAATGAATTCAAAACTGTTTTATATTAATGCGTCACGTGCAATAATTAGGGGAAATATTTTAACTGGTTGCCATGACGTCTTCATTTGCCCACAACGCATGAACTGTGCAATTGCCGCACTGGAGTGCGTTATCCTGCGAAAACGATATCTTTTTGCTGACTACCAACGACATACTAATAATAAGTAGCGGAGTACTTGCTTCAGATAATAACGTGGAATGCGAGCTTCATCGCGTAGACAGTCGGAGTCAGGTCTGCGGGGTATGTAAGGTGAGATCCGCTATCACTCACCGCGTGTGTTCCTTTTTTTTTTTTTTTTTTTGCTGCATACATTATCGTCATTTTCTTAACTAAGTCAGGGAGAACAGACAACGCGTACGCAGAAGTTCCTGACTGTCGTACACACAGCATCGTGATGGAATCCGGAGCGGGAAATAACGATCCATTAATAGCGCACACATCGTTTAATGTGTCCAATATGACGGATACTTATTCCAACCCGTTTGATGAATTACGGGCAGGAAAGGATCTTGTGCGGCAACTGGCTTGGCTGATCGGTGTACTATACGCCGCTGTGTTTATGGTCGGTACTTTGTGAAACGCTCTGATAGTCATCACCGTAGCTTGCAACAAATCGATGCAGAACGTTACGAATTATTTCATAGCCAACCTGGCAGCCTCTGATTTCATAATGTGTATTTTCTGTATACCTTGGACAGTGGTTAACAGCTTAATGGACAACTGGATATTCGGAGACGTTATCGTGTCGCCTTGTACCCACCATACAAGCGATGTCGGTGTTTGTGTCAATTACATCTCACGTTGTTATAGCGAGCGATCGATACTGCATGATAACGTACCCGTTGAAACCACGGCTGACCAGGGCTATTTGTTTTGTTATCATCGCCCTATCGTGGACCTCTGCTACAGCACTCGCAATTCCTATAACATACTTCACCAAAGAATACGACCTGCGTGTTTACGGCTACCACATCGTTTGCTACGAGATGTGGCCGTCAGAAGTGCCCAAGAAATTATACGAGATTGGTTTATTACTGCTTGGCTATTTAATCCCTCTAGTCGTGATTATTATCCTTTATGGCAGAATTTCTTACGTGATAACGAGTCGAGTTTTACCAGGAGTGTTCACCGAGGCACAGGAGAGGCGCGATCTAAAAAAGAAACAGAAAACCAACAGACTATTATTAGCAGTTGTCATGACATTTACGATATGTTGGTTCCCGATGTATATGATTCGCATTATCACTGAGATCAATCCAAAGGTATTTAGCGGTGAATACCATGATTTAGTGTTTTTTATATGTCACTGGTTTGCCATGAGTTCAACCGTTTACAACCCTTTCGTATACGCCTGGCTACATGAAAAGTATCGCCGGCGGTTGAAATTGGCATTTATGGCAACATGTTTCCGGCGTTCCGTAAACTACCGCCAACACAGCAAGGAGGGGGCGGCAACAACGCATCCACAGTCTCGTGACTACGTTGCAATCTCTCCCAAATCGACAAGATTTATTTCCTTGCAAATTTCGAAATGAGCGGGCATAGTATAAATATAAGCCGCACATAAATAATGGTGTTTATCGACCAGAGTGGAGGAGGTCTGTACGTTTGACTTCATATATAATGATTGAGACGACCCATCTCAACATGGGTTGAAAGTGATACCGGATTTTTTGGCAATTTGAGAGTTTCTTAATATCATATCTTTATTAACATATTCATACTCAAGACGCCTGCGTTTGACATTTTATGTGCATTTAATCTTTGTTTTACCATCCAACGGATTAATGTAGTGCACTACAACCTTCGGATTTTTTTTTATTTCAGCGTCATGTTAAATTTTGCAAAATATGCCTGCCTTAAAAATTCCAATTTAGATATATTTGCAATCACAGCATATTGCTGTTTCATTGTAATCTAAACCTAATAAACATGATTATTATGATTGTAGTCTACATTCTCACCAGTCATAGTGATTTTTTTTCGCTACAGTCAAACATAATCTGACAAAATACTCCAACAAAGTCAAAATGTGACGTAAGTTCCCTCCCCACTGTGATAGCCACATTGCAGCTTAGCTGTAATGAGTTCCGCCTTATTCCACAGTTATACAAACAACCAACACGGAATAGAAATTACAATATTTTTCACATCGTTACTTCAATGAAACTTGCGATGATCTTTGTAGCTGTATGACCATGTTTACGTAACTATTAGAGGAACAAAGGGTATCTCACAAGTCTGACGGCTTGTTGAATGTATTCTCAAAGAGTGTTTTTTTTGGACTGTCTAGTCAATTCTAAAAAATAAATTCACTTATATGATATATAGATATATACGTGCGTCGTTAACTATTCTGTACGAATACTACAATGCATTGATCAAGATTCTGGTCTGCTATGAGTACATATTCAGACTGTGTTACACAGTTGGATGTATCATGTATTCTGGTGACGGTTTGTCCCGGATGCATTCAGTGTCCCTGTATCAATTTTCTCGAGATGCGAGTATGTTATTTTTGTATTACAAAGTATAACGATTGCTGGTATACGCCGCGTTTTAGGCAGCTTCTGGTCTGCCAAAAAAAGGGAAGATGATAATTTTTTGAATAGAAATATTTTTTTACACCTATGGTTCTGTTTTCAGTGTAATTTGAATGTATTTTTAAGTACAAAATACGCATTTTAAATTGAACTTCAAACGAAATAAAATTATAGCTGACACCTTAAATATGTTAGAAATTCTTTGAGACAATGTGTTGAAAAATACAATATATTTTTACAATAAAAATACAATATATATTTTAACTAGTTTTTTACTAAACGCGTTCTAATTACGTTTGGGAATTACTAATTCGAAGAATCTCCAGAAGCGCATTCAAAATAATTCACATAAGTGAAACGTGGTCACGGTTTGGTGTTGATTTTGACTGAAGTTGAAGAATAAATGACGACTCACTGCGGGGGACGACTCACTGCGGGGGACGGGAATGTTCGTTTAAATAATGTACAGTGTGGAGTCCTTTACAATGATAATAATGGAATCGTCGAAAAAAATAATTTATGTGCAGAGGTTGCTCAAGAGAAAAGAAATCGAGAGTGCGGTAAACGCGTAGTTACGCTTGTATTCTTCTAGTTACACGTAGAATGTTCGTGAGCAAATAAACACACGCTCATAGTGAATTTTCTAAATAAAAATAACCAGAATACCTTAACTTGAAAGTACTCTGGAAGGTTCGTTTAAACGATCGTCCAAATCTCGTTCGTAACAAAAAAATAAAACATTCGTATACTAGGGGTTTCTCTCTAGTAATACTACTTCTGACGTTTACTAGAACCTTGACTTCGAACAGCGGTTAACTGCCCTCAACATCCTCGTAGCCGTATCAGATTATGTACGTATCCCCGTAATACTTACTATATCTAAATTAAGATTAAAACTTCTGATTAAGATGTGTGAAATTCCAAAACGAATCAAAATTAAACGTACAAACTAAAC